GTCTCAGAGCGGCTTACAAACTCCTTTCCCTTCCCCTCCCCACAACAGACACCCTGTGAGGTGGGTGGGGCTGAGAGAACTCTGACACAAACTGCTCTTTTTCAAGGACAGCTGTGCCAGAGCTTGTGACTGTCCCAAGGTCACATCAGCAGGTGCAAGTGGAGGAGTGGACAGCTGAGAGCTGTCTTTTCTCCTTTGTCCGCCACATACTTACTATATGGGCCATCCTAGCGCCGGAGGTTCCTACCACCATCCCCAGATATCTAAAGGAAGAGACTTGCGACAGACATTTTCCATTTGAATTATACTTTCATTTTCCTCTTCCTTTTTTTCAGTAGTTCAAGGCCATTTCCCCTTCATTTTCTTCTATGTTTTCTTAGAATATACAAAAAAACCAAAACAAAGCAACAAATAAAAAACCTTGGCAAGCCTGCTCCCCCCACCCCAATTATATTTTCCCTTTCTTTTGATTTTTGGTCTTTCCCTCTTCTTCTTGTATGCACTAGAAAAAAAAAAAGGATTTTAAAAGAAGAGAAAATGGTAAAATTACATTCTAAACCCCCCCCCCCCCCCGCCCGCCTTGAAGACAGTCTGTTTTCATTTTCTTTGGTTTTGTACGGCCAGCGTTGCAGGACCATTGTCGTCCCCTCTCTGTCTTACATATACTCGGATAAATTAATGTATGATGTACTGCGGGAAATTAATTTATGACCAAACGAACGGGAATGGAAGGTCCTCTTACTGAAACTGGCTGCTCCTCCTCGGCTTCTGTCGACCCTGTCCTGCTCTGAAGGGAAACTGCACTTCGCCCCACGGACTCCAGGATCCAGTTACATTTTGCTGCTCTTCGCATATTGCGCGACAAATAATTACCACAGTTCCCTTCACACGACGAACTAAACAGAAATGGGCGTTAACCGCCTTCCCTCAGGTGCCGCCGCTCCCTTCCCGCCTTTTTCACACAGTCCTTCGAGCCTTCGCTTCCAAGCGAGAGATTTTTTTTTGTCCCTCGGTACTACAGCCCCCAAGGTACTCTGCGGTAGAAGGATCGCTCCTCTCTGCTTTTGCGTTTTTCTGCCGATAGCCGTGAATACTACCTTTCCCGTGCCGCCTCGCGGCAAAAGCCCCGCAGTTTGGTTGGTTTCCCCCCTCCCCCCGGACTTCCAGCGTACTACATTTCCCAGGCCGCTTTGCGACTCCCTTTCCGCTCGCGCTGCTCCCAGTGCGCGGCGCGGTGGCGGCTGCCGGTGCTCCCGGTCTCGAGGCGGCGGGCGGAGATGGCGGAGGGGGTGCTGAGCGCCGGCGTCAACCTGGAGGCCTTCGCCCAGGCCATCGCGGCCATCCAGGCGCTGCGCTCCAGCGTCACGCGCGTCTTCGACTGCCTGAAGGATGGCAAGCGCAACAAGGAGACGCTGGAGGGCCGCGAGAAGAGCTTCGTCTCCGCCTTCCAGGAGAGCCTCCACTCCGTCAGCCGGGACCTGGGGTGAGGATGGAAGCCCGCGGTGGGTGGGAGCGGGGTTGCTGCTGCTGCTGCTGTCTCTTCCCCCCTCCCCGTGTTGTCTTGATGGCCGTTGGAGGAGGAGGAGGAGGAGGAAGAAGAAAGTCTATAAGTAATTCTCTTGGCTGGAATGTCTCTTCTTTAACAAAAATGGAACCTCCATGTTCAGAGGCAGTATATCCACGTATGGCGGGACACAGGGCCGGCTCGAGGTGTTCCTGAGCCCTAGGCGAGGCTGCCTTGTGGCACAGATGCCAACCTCCCGGTGGGGCCTGGAAACCTGGAGACCTATGGAGCCAGCCACCCTTTTGCTGCCGCCGCTACCGCCTCTTCCCCCCCCCCACAGACCAAAGGGGGGGAGGAGGGAGGCACAGCTTGGCGCCCCGTCGAGGGTCCGGCGCTCTAGGCGAATGCCTAGTTCGCCTAGTGGGTGAGCCGGCCCTGGGTGGACACAAAGAAGGCAAGGAAATCGCTGGATTCAAACAAGGGCCCAGTGTTATTCCAGTATAGGCGTTTGTGTCCTAGAACCCATTTCTTCAGGTGCAATGAATGGAGGCCTGCACCTAAGGTGGGGCTTTGGGGGGCTCCGCCCCCTTTCTTAAAGGTACAGCCGCACAAGAATTTCTCCTTTAAATGTTTTTTCCAATCATTTCAAAACATTTTTTTTTAAAGGCAGGCGCTCCTTTAAGCAGAGTGGAGTGCTGTCGTTAACTAATTCCTGCACTCAGGCGCTCCTTTAAGCAGAGTGGAGTTCTGTCGTTAACTAATTCCTGCACTGAGCAAGGGGGTTGGAGTAGGATCCCTTCTAACTCTGTATCAAGGAACTGGTCTCCTTTAAGAGAGTTTTTCTGCCTAACTGGATCCTTAAAATATGCAGATCTTTGATGTGTGAGGTATGGAAAATAATGGTAGTATGGACAAGTGCACGGAGTTACCAGTGTCTATCAATGGGTGATCTAAAACATGGAACCTTGATGCAATATACTGATGAATGTCATGTGCTGGGGATAACCAGGGCCGGATTTTTGCTGAATGGACCTTCCACATTGAGCGGTAGTAAACTTTTGAATTACACATGCTGGGAACAAAAGATGCGAGGCTTTTACTTAAACACAGCCTTCATGTTAAGAAGCACTGTGCTCAGGTGGAGAGAAGACGTGTTTGATCAATGTCTGTTGGTCGTAATCCCTAGAAAAAAGTACAATTTTCAAAGTTAGAGGTAGGGCGCATGTGAATGTCACCTTTTAAATCATGTCTCTCTTCAGATGTAGTATAAAAAGCGTCCCTCACCTGGAGTTCAGTTTTGCTTAAATGGTTCTCCTCTCCATTTTATCCTCACATCCTGTGGGGAAGCCTAGGCTGAGGGAGTGTGATTGCTCTCAAGTTCCTCAGTGAATTTCATGACAGAGCAGAGATTTGAACCTGGGTCTTCCCAGTTCTAGTCTAATACTCAGCCGCTATACTACATTGGCTCATAAGGGGGGGAAAGGCTAACCTCTGTGCTTACAGGCAATGTAACCATTAAAATCAGTGTATATAAAATAGGCAGGGAACTTGCTAAATGGGGCCTTGGAATACTGGCTGTTGGAAACAAAACGAAACAATTTATTTTATTTTGCACATGTTGTGGGACAGCCGAAGAGCCAGTTTGGTGCAGTGGTTAATTGTGCGGACTGTAATCTGGGAGAACCGGGTTTGATTCCCCACTCCTCCACTTGCACCTGCTGGTGTGACCTTGGGTCAGTCACAAGCTCTGGCACAGCTGTCCTTGAAAAAGAGCAGTTTGTGTCAAGAGCTCTCTCAGCCCCACCCACCTCACAGGGTGTCTGTTGTGGGGAGGGGAAGGGAAAGGAGTTTGTAAGCCGCTCTGAGACTCCAAGTGAAGGGCGGGGTATAAATCCAATCTCTTCTTCTAACTTTGCTCGATGCACAGGGACATGTGGAAGGAGACGGTCCTTCAGATAAGTGGGTCCCAGGTTGTGAAGCTCTTTAAAGGTCATAACGAGCACCTTAAATTGACAGCCAATATAGCTATCTCAGAATGGACAGTGTGTGTTCCCAATGGCTACCCTCTGACAGTAGTTGGGCTGCCATTTTCTGGACCAGTTGTAGTTTCTGGTTTGTCTTTGAGAGCAACTCCATATAGAGCATATTGCAGTAATTCAGCTGTGAAATTACAGAGGCATAGAGCAGTGTAGCTAGATCAGCTGAGTCTCGGTAATGGAGAGTTGGTGAATCAGATGCAGCTGATAGGAGGTGCTCCGAGTCCTGGCCACCATGCCAGCTTGCTTTTTAAAGAGTAAGCCAGGATCTGTGAGCACCCTTAGGCAGTTAACCTGCTTGGGGAAAGCCGATGTCCCTCCATCTAGTTTCAGTCCCTAGGCTATCAGCCTTTGTGACCAGCATTACCTCTGTCCTGTCTGGATTCAACTGCAGCTTGTTCTGCCTTAGCCACCGGACCACAGTCTCAAAGCACCAGTTCAAAACCAAGCTGGATGTATCTGGAGGCTTGGATAATGAAATATAGAGCTCGGTGCCATCTGTATATTGATGAAACTCAACACCAAAGCTCTGGGCAAACTCAATCAGTTGTCTCATGTTAAAGAACATGGGTAAGAGAACAGAAACCTGTGGCACTCCACAAGACAAATTCCACCAGTTGATTCTGCACCTCAGATGGAAATTCTTTGTGCCCAGTTTGATGAAAAAGAGTGAAATCAGCAAAGGGCTATGCCCTTAACAGCAGCTCTATATTCAGGGTAGTAGATAATAATGGAGTGGTCAACTGAGTCAAAGACTGCTGAGCGGTCTAACAGTATTAACAGGGAAGATTGTCTCCTGTTCAGCCTTAAAGCAAGATCATCTACCAGTGCAGTAAAGCCATTTAGCACCAAACCAAGGCTGAGACTAGACTGGACTAGGCCAAGGGCAGACTATTCTCTGGGTGGGCTGTTTAGTGTTCTAAATTGGTTTTAAATATTATTTTTATTGTATTATGTGTCTGTTCTAATGCCTGTTTTTATCCTTGGGTCCTAAACTGCATGTGAGAAAGGCATATATATAGAACAAAAGGAAATACTTCTTTACACAGAGAGTGATTAAAATGTGGAATTTGCTGTCAGGGGATGTAGTGATGGCCACAGGAATGAACAGCTTTAAAACAACATCTATATGCATCCCCTCACCCAGCTGGCATGGAGTTTTGGGCTTGGGTGCCACCAGCAATGCTCCCTCTAAGCTCGGGGGACTTGAGAGCCACTGGCATTAAAGTTGTGAGCGAGCTATTTGGCTACTGCATAAATTAGTTTGCTCTGGAGCCATCCTTTCTGAGCTAAAATAAAAATCTGTGAGCTGGAGGCTAAAAACCTGTGAGCTAGCTCACACTAACTCAGCTTAGAGTGAATACTGGTCACCAGTACGCTGATGATACCCAGCTAATATATGTTATTGGACAGTCACCTGGATGCTGCCCCACAAAATTTGGCTGTGTGTTTGAAGGCTGTGGTGGGGGTGGTTAAAAAAGAGCAGGCTGAGACGGAATCCTACTAAGATGGAGGTTCTGTGGCAGGGCGGAGCTTCAGGGTTGGGGCACAGAATTTCCACTCTAGGTCCCATTGACAGTCCGTCAAGTGTTCGGCCATGATCTTGGATGCCTCCTTGCCTACGGAGGCCCAAGTCACGCATATTGCCAAGCTGGTGTTTTTTTAATCTTCGCCCGGCTTGGCAGTTGGCTTCTTTCTTGTTGTGCCCTGACCGAGCGACAGTAATCCACACAACGGTCACCTCCAGGCTAGACTACTGCAATTCACTCTATACGGGCCTGCCCTTAAGGTTGACCCAGGAGCTTCAGCTGATCCGGAATGCAACGGCATGGGTCCTGACGGGAATGTCACAGAGGCACACATACAACCTGTGCTGTGCCAGCTGCACTGTCTTCCAGTGGAATTCTGAGTCAAGTTCAAGGTTCTGGTGTTGACCGTTAAGGCCTTGAGTGGTCAGGGACCAACATACCTGCGGGACCGCCTCCTCTGGTATGTCCCTGGCAGAGCGTTACACTCTTCAGGTGGTCCCCGGCCCCAAAGATGTCCAGTGTCCTGGGCCAGGGCTGGCTCCAACCTGGTGGAACTCTGCCAAATACCACCAGGGCCCTGTGGGATCTCATGGAATTCCGCAGGGCTTCTAAGGCAGAGATGTTCTGCCAGGTGTTCGGTTGAGGGCAGAGACAGTTTTCACTCTAGCTGGCACCCTCTTTTGCTCTCCAGATCAGCTGTCCCTCTTCCTCCCCTGCCCACAAGGTAGGTGGTCAGTCCGGAATGGGAAGCGATTTTAGTTAGCCATCTGGAGTTTAACTTTATTGGTACCGCTGTATATTAATTGTAGAGTTTGTATGTTTTTATCCGTTGTTGTAGGTTGCCCAGAGCCCTGCAGTACAAGGGATGGGCAATTAAAAAATCTAATAAATAATATAATAATAATAAAAGGGGATTAGATAGACCTATCCTCCACGAATCTATCAATGGCTAGTAGCCATGGTGACTGAAGGGAACCTGCACATTCAGAGGCACTAGTCCTCTGAATCCCAGAGCCAGGAGGCAACATCAGGGGAAGGCCTCAGCCTCTATGCCCCATTGCTGGCCCTCCAGAGGAACTGGGTGGCCACTGCGTGATACAGGATGCTGGACCAGATGGATCATTGGTCTGATCCAGCAGGGCTCCTCTTATGTTCTTATACATAAAAAAGTTGAATTTATGAGGTGGGTTTAGAGCTTCAACTAAAAAAATCTATGAGGAGCCTCCTTCAGTGGAGTACAAACAGTACACCGTTGAGACCACAGAAGGATACTGAGATATTTATTTATTTGTAAGTTCAATTTATATCACCCTTTCCTGAGTTCACAGGGCTCAGGGCGGTTGACAACAACAAAAAATACAGTATAGACAAAAAATAAAACAGTCAAGTTAAGATTAAGAACATTAAAAAAATT